AATAACCGTTCCAACTGCTGGAAGCTGCAGTGTTTTGCACCATCCCTGTGAATACTGTAGTGTATATGTTTTGAATAGGGGCAATTAGCAAAATACACAGGACCAGCTGCAGAGTCCGCAGAAAGAATGGACTTGAGGAACTGGGGCTAGATCCTGCAACTGGATCAGTGTAGGGGTTACTTCAAACCCCCTTCCTCTCTCTGTATGATAGATCAGACCTATTGCATCTGAAACTAGGATGGTAGAGGATCAGGCTGGCATCCCAAGTGCATACCCAGAGGGTATGGGCGAGTTTGTATTCAGGTGGCTAGCCCGAGCTGGCATCCATCCTACCCCGAGCTATGCTGCTATTTGGAGCACGGGAGCTTGGAGCAAATGCCGCGTGTCTGTCTGCCCGAGCCGGGAAGCACGCTCCCAGCTGCAGTGTAGATGTACCCTTTGTGGGCACTGCCTGGTGCAGTCTGGCTTCTCCAACAGCTGGTTCTGAAGGATCCCACAGCTCTTCCTTTGAGGCCTGAGCCAACTCCCATTAAAGTCAATGGCAAGACTGTCATTGACTTCAACGGGACTTGGATCAAGCCCTGTGGGGAGAAGAGGATCCCATTTCCCTGCCATGTCTTGGTGGTATAAGTGACACCACGGAGGCTGAGATGGGTGCTGCCACGTGGCTTGGTCTGGCCAGGAGGCATTGAATGGTCATTTTCCTTCATCTTGCTTCCTCAAGTCCTGTTACTTTCAGAGACAATATCTTATGGTATCTGGTGCCTTTTGGCCACAAGTAGCGCTTTAACAATCTTTATGGGGGTGGGGGTGTGTGTGGATCCGTTGAATTTGTGGATTGTAAGCTCTCCGGGGCGGGGACCGTCTGTTTGGTGTTTGTGCAGCACCTAGCCCAGGGATGACCAGGGTTCCTAGGTGCTACAAATCAACCTGGTGGTGGTGGGGGGACCGAATGTATGGCTCTGCCAGTGGAATGCGGCGGGACTGTTCCATCCCAATCCTTAGGAAGAGGGAAGCGACGAATGCTTTTTCCCCAGTTGGAATAGCTGGGAGGAAATTCAGAATAAACTGACGCAAAGCTGGCCGGGATGCTAGGGTTAACCCCCCCCCCCCATCTTACAAGCAAAAGACCAACTCCATTAGCTCGTGATGAAATTTAAAATCACTCACTGGAAAAGTAAACTCAACAGTCGCTGATTTGTGTTTGTGAAGAATGGCTGCAGCCATCAATGTCGAGTAACAGTCCCCCAGATGCCCCCTACCCGTGCCAGATCCCCTATGGCTCCTTGTGAGAATCCCAACCTCTGTTCTAGCACGTGTGGGGCTGCAGACACAGGGTCTGGCATTGAGAGCTGTGATCAATGGCTCGATGTCCTATGTACATTTGGGTCATTCTGTCCAATTCCTCACACATCCATTTCCCCCGCCCCAAGCCTGTTCTGAGACTTTACTTAGGGGGTGATGTCCCCCTGTACTGTGACTAGCTCATCACACTCTGGCCCCGGAGAAAACTCTAATAGTGCAATACATTCTAGTTCAGTAAATCTGCTTCGCATCTCTTCTCTCTCCCACAGCTGGCCAGAGGCTGCCTCGGGGCAGTGATGGGCTGCCAATATTTTAACAAGGGAATCCCACAAGATGATTCTCCCCCACCCTCTGCCATTCGCTTGTGACAAACCCCATGTCCCGGGGTGCCCGTGCTGCAGAGAAGGGAGGGTAAAGGAACCGGGATTCCAGTTAGACACAAACGCTCTCATTCCCCATAAGCAAGGAAGAAGCCAGCCCCATAGGGAAGCATGGGCTTTGCTGTTGCAATCGCTTCCATGTGCGACTGAGTTGAGTGGGACACGTTGCGTGTTACTTGCCTGCGGAGCTGTTTGCAGGATTGTAGGCCCCCCCCATCCTGCTAGTGATGCCTTCACCCCATCCCGAGCCCCCCACTGATGTCAGCTGGTCAGGGGTCTGCCGGCGTGGAGTCGCTTGCAAGGTTGGGGAGGGCCATAGCGAGTGCGTGAGCGGGGGTTGCTGCTGCTTTGTCTCTGAAGACTCAACTGACAGTATAAAGGGTGTTGCCTGCGGTGGGGCGTGGGGCTCTAGAAGGGGGATTCTGGGGAGAGAGATGGTCTGTCCCTGGGGAAGGGTGTTTTGGAGAGCGGTGGGTGGGGGATCCTCGCTGGACCATAGTTGGCAGAGAGCAGGTATTTCCAAACGACCCTGATCCATCAGCATCCAGACACTGTTCTGAGCTCTGTCAACTCCGCCTGCCCTTCAGAGAAAGAATTGTATAGAGACTCCTTTTCCCCCCCCCCGCCCCCAGCATAATCCCTGCCTCGCGGTTGGTCAGCATGGGCACCAGCCTGCCAGGCGATGGGGAGGGGCAGGGGTCTGGAGAAGAGAGA